ATCTATCTATCTATCTATCTATCTATCTATCTATCTATCTATCTATCTATCTATCTATCTGGAGGTAAGTTAGCCAGTCAACTTTCATGTTCTGCCAATTTTTCAATTGTTTTTAAATTTCCCTGTCTATCAATTAAGTCTCTGTATCTTAGCATTTTGTTCAAATCTATAAAATTTGGGTGAGTTGTCCTTTCTGTCGGTGATAGCCAATTCGGGATTTTCACATAGTGGATTTTTTAAATTTATTTTGAGCCATTTTTGCAATAACGCTCTTCTAGAAATTCATCTTTCTATCTGTCTCCTATGCCCTGTATTGTTATGATCCAATATTTGGGGATATTGGTTATTCCCATGTAAGAATATTTTGTGGTACCCAGCAACCACTAACAAGGGGTGGGGGATTCCTATATCAACTAATGCTAAATCCTAGCCAGGAAATGAGAAGCAGTTCAGTTTACAAAGGATGGCTGTGCAGTATCTTGCCACATTTGTGACTTAAGGATAGCAATCTACATCAGTACAAGGCCACTGGACTTTCCATGTACTGGCAAAATATTGTAACCATGAAAATATCAGCTGTGCAATACCACCAGTCCTACCTGCTTTTGTTTTGTACAAGAACTGTGACATCATGATATTCTCAATCATTGTGCTAAATTTAGCTAAGTTTATCCAGCTGTCATATTTCAAATACACCCACTGATTTCTCTTCTAAGCCCTGAACAGATATTTATAACTGAACAGATATTTATAACTATATATAGTTGATATAGGAATGCTAAATACAGTCATTATTTAAAAATTGTAAAAAGAAAAATGTGTTTGAATGCCGTGTGATACGCAGTAAGGGCAGGAAATTTTTAATTAATTTATAAATATATCGTTCAACGACTTCTAGGATTCCATTTTTCATACATGACAAGCATAAAAATAGTTGAAATATTTAAATATTAGTTTTGACTATGTTACCAGAGAAGAAATAGTAACTGACCAGGAATTAGGGAAAATTGGTCATAGAGCAAAAGCAAATGTCTCGGTAGTTTAAGAATCTACAACCTCTCTGTTCATTTCAATGGGTAGTTTGTTAAAATCCAAACTATAGGTAATCCTCAAATTACAACTGTTCATTTAGCAACTGTTCAAAGTTACAATGGCAGTGAAAAAGTGACATGCCCGTTTTTCACACTTACAACTGTTACAGCATCCCCAAAAGTCTTGTTCAGTAAGTATTCATAGTTATGATAGTCATGAAAAGTAGCTGCACAACAAATCCTTGCATTTATGACCTTCATAGGACCATAAAGCAAATGAAAGCTAAAGTAAGATCATAACTTTCACTAAAGAGCTGTGGTGGCGCAGTGGTTAGAATACAGTATTGCAGGTTATTCCTGCTAGCTGTCAGCAGTTTGGCAGTTCAAATCTCACCAGGCTCAATGTTGACTCAGGCTTCCATCTTTCCAAGGTCGGTAAAATGAGGACCCAGATTTGGGGGGAAGGGCAATATGCTGACTCTGTAAACTGCTTGGAGAGTGCTGTAAAGCACTATGAAGCAGTATATAAGTCTAAGTCTATTGCTATTAATAACTGGGTTACCAGTCCCACTGTGATCACTAAATGTAGTAGTAGTTTAACAGAATAACAGAGCACATGCAAAAGCATCCCCTCCCACCAATCCCTGCCACCAGTCTACAAAGCTGGAAAGGTTGGGAAACTCTGATCTATTGGAAGACAAAGGCTTAGCTTTTTTCCCCTCTAAAACAAAAATCATGAAGAGAATTCTAGAGAATTTTCAGCTGTGTTGAATTTCAGCCAACCCTTACATAATTCATCTGTATGCAGCTTTGCTTGTTGCTCACTTTTTATATAACTTGCTGAAGGCAACTCGTCAATTACAGATTTTCTTCTCTCAGTGGGCATAAAAAGAGCTAATTTTCTCTCCCAAGTTTCCTGAAAATCTGGTAGACTACTCTACCTAAACTCTCATAGCTTCAACAACAAATAGACTGGCTATTGGGCAAAAATAATGGTTATTTCTTGATTCTGCTGAAAAAAGAAATGCAAAAACAGCAACTGAATACCACCTTTGGAATATCATTTGTGGGATCTCTTTCTAGTTTGCTTGATATTTTACAGTGATATATATTCCTTTGCTAATTCCTACTTCAGACTAGTTTCACCTCATCTCCAGTTTTGCAGCCACTATCCAGGAAATTTTAGCATGTCCTGATTGTGGCGCCATGCAGCTTTCTTCTTCTCTTCCAAGCCAGGATTAAACAGTTCGCTGAACAGAAATAGGAGGATAAGAATGAAGGTCTAACCTGCCAGCCATCAGATTTTCCATTAATACTACTTGTTCTTTTCACAAGACAAACATGCTGATTGATCACCTACACCATTAAGCAGCATCTACAAGTTTTAAAATGATTAAACAGGGATCCATTTTATATCTTTTGAAACATTTCAAGAGCAAAATAAATTATCACTATAATTTATTATCCCTGGCTCAATGGCTGTGATCATATAGCATGACTGATAGAATCAGCCATCTCCACATTCAATAGACTGATTGTGGTTGCCTAGTATCACATAAGCAATATAACGAAGCCAAAAGCCCAGGCAAGTGAAGTGTAACCATTTTCCATGTCCTCCAATTACCTCTAAGGAGGTTAGGAGGCTTCCATATTCTGCCTTGTTTCCTCCAACACCCTCTTCCCAAGCCACTCCCTTTAACAGTTTGACAGGGTCAGCACTACTGCAAAAGAACTACTTTCATTCAAATTATTTTCATTCAAAGTACTACATGTACTCTTCATTTAGTGATCAGTGTTGGGACTGGTAACTCAGTTATTAAGCAAAAGTTGCGATCTTACTTTAACTTTCCTTTGCTTTACAGACCCATGAATGTCATAAGTGCAAGGATTGGTTGCCACCTAGAACTAAGGAGAAACTTCCTGACAGTAAGAACAATCAATCAGTGGAACAACTTCCCTTCAGAAGTTGTACATGCTCCAACACTGGAGGCTTTTAAGAAGGGACTGGAGTACCATTTGTTGAAAATGGTTTGAGCAGGGGGTTGGATTAGAAGACCTCCAAGATCCCTTTCAATTCTGTTATTCTGTTAAATACTGCAGGTGCTCTTCATTTTGTGATCATAGTTGGGATTGGTAACTCAGTTATTAAGCAAAAGTTATAATCTTACTTTAGCTTTCCTTTGCTTTACATTTCTATGAAGGTCATAAATGCAAGGATTGGTTGTGCAGCTACACTTTCATTACCATCATGACTATGAATGCTTACTGAACAAAACATTTGGAAGTTCAAGCAGGGACAGAGGAGATTATCAGCATATATTTCAATTTTAAGTTACTTGATGGTGATGTAGAGTGGAAAGACTTAGCACTAATTGATCAGTTCACAGAAAGGCTGGCCGATGAACTGAGACAAACTAGTGAGGCAAGGAGCCCAAAATACCATAGAAGACCTTTTTCAACACTATGTAATTATAGATGGTCAGCTGGAAGAATTAAGACAAGGGAGAAACAGGAAGGAAAAAGAACCTACAATGTCTTCCCCATACAACTACACCCAATCCTCCGAATCCAGCATGGCAGAACAGAGAGGACAGTGTGGGACAACCAAAACAGAAGGGAGCAAGGAATATGCTATTACTTTGTGGCTCTCGGACAAACAGCTAGATCATGCCCAACAAAAAACAGCAGTAATGGTCACAATAATAAGATGCAGAACTTGTAAATCAATGGAATACAAAGCCTACAACTGCCTAGCTCAATCTCAGACAATGCCTGAGGAAAACTTCACCATTCTCCCCTCCCCAGAGCTCCAAAAGAAGGCCATCCACCATTTGAGGAGAACTCAGACAAACCAAGAATATTAAGTAGGCAAGCATACTTAATTATTTCTATTATTGTTATTTCAGATTCTGGGCAGAAAGTGGAGCTTTCTGCACTTGTAGATTCTAGTAAAAAAGTAAAGCGTTTTACTCCGCTAGTTGTTGCTGACTACAGGGCATGATTCTCATCTCCACTTTAAGGCCATTAAGCCAGCACTTTCAGAAGACATATCCATGGCCATGTGGCCAGCATGATATCACAGAGTGCTGTTATCTTCCATCGAAGTGGCAACCATTTACTGACTTGCATTTGTATGATTTTGAATTGCTAGGTTGGCAGGAGTGGGAGAGGATAGGAGCTTACTCCATGATGTGGAGCTTGGGTCTCAAACCAGAACTGCCAGTTTTCCAACTGACAAGCCCAGTGTCTTAACCACTGAGCCACTGCGCCACCCCATACACTCTGGACAATGACAAATGGCAATCAAAGATCACACAGAGCACAAATCACTTTATGTAAATGCATGCTCCATTAGGATAGGCCTTTCCTTAGTTTCTTTCTCTGACCATTAAGCGACCAGGAGGTCCTCTCCAATTGTCTGTTTCCTTTTTACCCTTTCCTTTCTATGTATTCCATTACAGAGTCCCATTTTTTCTTAACTTTAGAGGCAATATGGTGCTAGCTCCATACATTAGTTCTTTGATTAGCAATTCTAAAAAGTACTCAACCTGCTCAGGACGCTTTCAGAAAACATATTTCAGATTTCATCCTAAACTTAAATATGATTCTTATAAACATGAACAAGAATTAACTTACAATAAAATTATGGACAATTGGAAAAGAAACAATCCTCTTCACTCCATTTTCAGCTGTTACTCCAAGCCAATTAAGCACAGCCCAGGACCAAAGATAGCTATGGCTTCCATGCCAGTAACTTACAAAAGCAAATGTGATGGCAGTTGAAAACAACATCTTAAATATGCTGCAATGAGATCCTCCCATTGGGACATAAATATACCTGCCAGAGAAATTAAAAATAGAAGTAATTAGATATAAGCTTTCCAAGAGTTGCTTGTTTTTATTAATGATAAAAGTTTTCTTTTGACATGTTATATTTGCAATCTACTCTAGTTTCTCAACCATAACATTTTTAACAAATGTCAAAACACCTTTTCCTGCAGATGATGTACCACAAAACTCATGTCCTATATCATTTTCGGTGGACACAATTGATCTGTGAACCATTACTTGTTTCTTGTTTGAAAAAGTTGAGGTAAAACCCAATCTTTGTTTTTATGAGAAAAGTTCTTTTTAAATATAATGTCTTGTTTTCAGTGAAGGTTTACACTCAAAGTGCCAGTAGCAAAAGTAGCAGCAGTCACTTTTTCTTGTTTGCTGATAATTTCTGCCTGTTTTCCCACACCTTCCTCCCTCTTCTCATTTCTACAGCATCCTACTGCTTTGCATGAATATTCCAATGAAAATGAATTATTTTATCCAAGTCCTAAATATGATACAATCTTTCTCATTTATTACAAATTCAAATACTTGTTAACTGGATTTCTAAAATATTATTTTTCACTAGTGCTTTGTGTATACTTCAGATTTGGATTAGATTATGAAAATGCAGAATTAAGAGTTTTCTCTTTCTGTAACTCATCAAGGATTCTGATAACATGGCATTCTACATTTTCTTAGTCTTAAAACAAATTGGCAGAGAGAATGACAAAAGGGTAGCAAAACAACTACAGAATAAAGAGCAAGTTAAAAAAGAGTGAAATAGTGACACAAAGATTGCTTGGATTGCCTCTGTGACTATATAGCACAGATGGGGAGAAAGTTAACCACCAGACTGCAAGAACACAAGTGAGTGGTCAAACGAGGAGACCCAAGCTCATTGGTAGCCTCACTTTGCAATGAACAAGGATATACATTCAATTTCAAATTCAAGCTACAAAGACTATTGGCCGAGCAGGTACAAAGGTAACCAGGGAAATGATTGAAGCCTGGGAAATGGGCCCTTGTCAGTCAACAGGAGTGCTGACTTACTATCAGCTTATCAGGTACTTAGGAGCCAAAGACCTGGCAGCACAAGGAAATAACAGCCAATGACTTAATAGTCATCCATCAACATCCCACTCAACATTCCCTGAGGATGGGCTCCAGTACGAGTTCGAAAGCTTAGAACGCTAAATCTCTGGTCCTGGTGTCTGACTCAGATTGGATCCTGCAAAATTATCCTGTAACATGCATAGTTGCCTTCATTCATGAAAATAATTTTTTAAAAAGTGGGACAGGGAGCCTGGTCAGCAGCAAGAAAGACATCCATGAAGACATTGGCATATATCATTGCCTACTGTAATGATGCCCAGCTCAATTATTTACAAAATCCTTCTTTAACCATCGTAGATACATCTTTTCAAGGCCATATATTAATATTTTTCCCTCTGCAATACTGGAAGACAGATATAATAAGATTCCATAGCTAGAAAAACTCTGTCAGTGTGGAAAGTGGGAAATGGAATTAATGGCTCATATGCTTCTAAGCTGCTTTTTCTGTGAGCAAGCCAGACACTGAAGTAAAACACCCTATATTAAAAGGGATAAAGGATAGTCTACAGAACTTTATCTTTACCTATTGCACCACAAGTTGCAAGATTTGTTCTGAAGCCATACAGCAAGTTTATCAAGGCAAAATTCTATCTTATATGCAATAAAGTTGTTTACCTCCTCCATTTTATTTCCTCTATTTTATTCACACATCCACTCAGACAAAGACTGTAAAGTAGCAGCAAATAGGGTATATAACTTTTATAAAGAATGTTTTTGTGGCTTTAGTTAACTAAATCAGCTCATCCAGTTTTACAGGTTTTATGTTTAAAATTTTTATGCTACCTTAAATTTACATAAATTATCTAGGCTGTATATACGTGGATACTTTGTTGTACTTTTCTCTTTCTACTGGTTGCTTAGCTGTAATAAGTTTTGCTATGTTGTGTTCCTAACCTGGAATCAAAAATATAATATGAACATCAAATTTCCCCACAGTTAATTTCTTCTCAAACTGAGGAAGGGCCGATCCTTCTTCAAATATGGTAACATACTGTATTTGAAAAGTAAATAGATACAATGCTATGCCTTTTTGTATCAGTGTATCTAAAATTAATGGATCAAGCTTACTAAAATTAATGGAAGTTTTCAATGCTACTAGCTAGTACAATAAATCTCTCAGAGTACAATCTTGGCTCTTAAATGACCATTCATGTTCATTATTTTCCATGAAAAACATCTTCTAACTATAGCAAAAATTAGCCTGCTTAGCATCAGAGAACACCACTGCTATTACTGCATTGATGAGACTATATCCGGGAATAGGCTAAAAACAGCTTTAATTAAAAACTGTATTTTCAATTATGGTCCAGTTTTTGACATTGACTAGTCTTCCCCCAGTGACTTCTCAGGGGAAAAGGGATCCATTTCAGACTTCTATTTCTAATACGTGTAGTTGGTTAATTGTGCAGGCTTAATTTTATTTTGTTTTAAAAATGTGGAGGTGAGTCCTTGCGGGGAGGTGAGTAAATTATTGCCACGAGCCACATGATAAATGCCAATAAAAATTGACAAAGGACGAGACCGGCCTAAAGGTACTGAAAGCAAATTTTGCATAGCTTGTGCACTCAGAACAATTAAGTTAAGCTGCAGATTTAAATTTACTAATTCTTACCCAAGTTATATATACATGACATAGTCTAGAAACTAAAGTTGGTGTTCACAAATAAATTCAGCAAGTCAAAATCACAATATTTGAAATATAATTCCACATATCACTTTGAATCTTTTCTGGGAAACGATATAATTCTGTTCCTATTTTTTATTTATTTGTGAAAATCACACACAGTTTCAATCTGGTCAGATTCTAAGAATTATAATATTTTTTTATTAAATTCATATATACATTCACAATTATATGATCTCATAACTGTTATTAATAATATGTATTTATAACAATTTTCCCCTACAGTTGACAATATACTTGAGATTACTTTCTTACCATCCCATAACTCCATCTTATCTTACAACATTCCTACTTCTTCTTCCTTCCCTCCTTCCTTCCCTCCTTTCTTCTCTCCTACTCTCCTTCCTTCCCTCCTTCCTTCCCTCCCTCCTCCCCCCCTACCCTTCCCCCTTTCTTCTCTCCTTCTCTCCTCCTTCCCTGCTTCCTTCCCTCCTTAGGAATTATAGTATATAGTGCATTGTAAATGTATACTTTATATTAAACACCCACACAGTATATATAATCTTCATGATGAACTTCATTGAAAGGACAAATTGATTTTGAAGTCTAATATTATAACTACTAACATTTGAAAATATAAGCCAATTCTTCCAAGTGTTATGATGACACAGTTGTGTGATGTTGTAAAAATGGTGTTGTAAATATTTGAACTGTAATAATTCATAATGTTTATTGATATGACTTTTGTACAAATGTATGAGTGAAGATTAGAGGTCATATCCATACCTACATATTCTCCGACTGATTATGAGTCATCAAAATGTTTACTCTTACTGACCTAGATAGATTTTCTCCATGATGATTTGTCCCTAACTTTCCATTGATCTTCCAATGATGCATTCATAACCTTTGTAACTGAGTTCATCAACTTCTCATCCATTTCTGGTCATCCATTTCTCTTTCTGTCCACCTTTCCCAACATTAGAACCTTCGCTAGGGAGCTAGCTAGGTCTCCACATATTGTGTACAAAGCCTACATATTGTTATCTATCTAAATAAAAGCCATGATGCCAATTTAAAATGTAATTGCAATGCCTGTTTTAGGGACACAACATTTTAAAGTGTTAATTGAAAATGAGACTAGAATTTGTGCAGATTGCCTATACCATGGGACTTTTTTTTACAACTACATTGCTTCTTTTTCAAAACTGGGCAGCTTTTTAAGTCATCTTATCTCCTGCCAGCAAGCTGTTCCAATTAAAAAATACATCATAATTTTAATTCACTAGATACCCATTACTGAATTGGACAGATTATGTAAATATTACCCTTCAAATCCCTCCTGTATCACAAACTTAATTTCTAAAAAAGTTAAGAATGACATTAAATGAAAACTTACACGTTCAACAACCTCTTCCAATTTCTTACAAACTCCAGGAAGGATGAATAATATCAGCAACAGCATAACATCATAATTCTTGGAAGAATTTGCTTGTACCTTTAAACTTTGTCGCTTAATAACTATAATTTTAGACTTCACAATCCATCGTTCTTTCAAAGAAGCTAATTATGAAGTATTGTGCATTCTTGTAATTTTGCTAAACTTGTTTTTGCTATCAGACATCATTACTAACTGCATCTTTGTGTACTTTTAATTGTCTTCAGTTGACAATTTCAATCCCCCTGAAGGATTCATGAGCAGTCCCTGTTCTCTCCTACCATACTGAAGATGCAAATAAAGCAATACTCTCTTTGCTTACAATACAATTATTGATATCACAAAGTCTAATTTTCCTACAATTGATTCTATGTGGACAGATACTTAAGGTTGCCAATTCACATAAAAGCCTTGTGATGTGATATTACAATTTTTAATTTCTTTTGTACTCCAGCACTGTTGTGCTTTTGCTTTTGTAGAGGACTTGTTTTACATGATATGTTTTCTATGTGAGCCATTGAGTGTCATTTTAGTTATGGTGGAATAAAAATATGGGAAATACATACACTTAACATATTAAGGTAATATTAGAACATGGCTACAGTGCTGCCAGAATGCAAGGAAGTGTTGATGTATTCTTTACAAGCCAAGTCAAACTATATCTGATTATAGAAATATAATTCTATATAGAAATGAAGGGCGATGAGTCTATGAAAGATATGAAAGGATTAATGGTATACACCCAGGTCAACAAAACTGTGAAAATTGTTAACCTAAGCCAAATGTAAGATTAGATGTATTAATAGAACTGTATTAGTAATAAATATAGCTCAATCATATATAT